AAAGGAATATGTTCCAAAAAAGTGACATGTCGGGAAACATATAACTTCTGATTCACAGGATCATAGCAACGGTATCCTTTCTGTCCAACACCATACCTCAAAAATACACAAATAGCAGATTTCGTCCCTAACTTGTTCCTCTCAACATGAGGACGAAGAACAAAACAAGTACATCCAAAAACTCGTAATGAAGAGTAGTCTGGTAGATGACCATATAGCTTCTCAAAAGGAGATATTCCTGAATTCAATGAAGTAGGGATACGATCAATCACATAACAACAGTTAGGACTGCTTATCCCCAAAAGACACTAGGGACTTGCGCAGACAGGAGCAATGAACGGGCAGTCTCAACAATATGACGGTGTTTTCGTTCTGCCACACCATTTTGTTGAGGAGTGTCAGTACACGATGACTGGTGTATGGTACCATCAGAAGCAAGTAACTGAGTAAAATCATTAGAGGTATATTCACCCCCTAAGTCACACCTGAAGCACTTAATCACAGCCGAATGTTGAATTTTAACAAGAGCTCTAAAATTCTTGTAAATATCAATGAAATCAGATATGCGTTCATAAGATAAACCCATGTATATCGAGTATAATCATCTATAAAAGATACATAATAGGTTGACCCACCCTTTGTGGATACTGGTGCAGGACCCCACACATCAGAATGAATAATGTCAAAAGGAGAAGTAGAACAAGACATACTTTTATTGAAAGGTAAAGCAGAAAATTTTGCCAGTTTACAAACACTACAATCAGAAATATCACAAGTGTTCAAATGACCCAAAACACCACTAGATGCTAGAAAACTCAAACGTGATACAGACACATGTCCCAAACGAGAATGCCAAAGATAAAACTCAAACGACAAAGGACTCAAATGAAAAGAAGACAAATCAATGTTGGAGGCAGCAACATCAGATACTTTGAGAACCTCCAATACATACAGTTCCTCCACCCTACGGCAGATCCCAATCACCTTCTGGGTGTGTTGATCCTGTATAACACAGACAAAATAAAAAAACACCCAGTTACCAGACTTACATAACTGACTGACTGAGGCAAGATTCAAAGTAAGTTTGGGAATGTAATAAACATCAAGGAGACTAGGAGAGTGATATGAGAAATAGAGACAGACCCAGCACCCTCAACTAGCATAGATGTATCACTAGCAGACATAACAGAAATAGATGACACATGTGACATAGAAGTAAATGATGACAAATGAGGAGTCATGTGATGGGTTGCACCAGGATCTAAAATCCACAAAGATGAGGGAATACCTGATGTACCATATGAAGTATGATCAGAATGAGACATAGATGTAGACATGACAGTGGGATTAGAGACCAAATAATGTCTGAAACTCTCAAAAACCTTGGGATCCAATGTAGATGGTGGCATGTTTCCAACAGATTTTGTGTCAACTGGTGGTGTAGCAGCAACAACAAACTGTGGAGGACGAGGAGTCCATGGAGGAGTACCAGAGGAACGTTGCTAAAACTTCTGTTGACTAGACCTATTTTGTTGTCCCGACTGAGGCTGACCAGATTTAACCTTGTTGACTAACAATGGACACTGAGCTTTCTAATGATTTCTCTATTTGCAGAATACACACTCATCATAAGCAACCGTTGAAGTTTGTCGAGACTGATTTGATGAGACAGCAAGCACAACAGGAGTGGAAGTAGGAATGGATGTTGCTTTAAACCCTTTATCCGCATGAGACTTGATATGAGTCTCTTCAGCAATCAACTCATGAACAACAGAATCCACTGAGGGAAGGGGAGAGCGATGAAGAATCGTTCCACGTAGGCCTTCAAAATTAGAACGCAAGGCCATCAAGAACTGTACCAAACTTTGTTCTTCCCTCCTAGCAATGTAACGCTCAAAATCTTTTAACTCTTTAGATTCAGTAAGAGCCAATTAATCCCACAAATCAAACATAGCAGCATAGAAATCTTGAATGTTCTGGTTATTTTGTTGAAGAGCACGAATATCATATTCTAATTGGTACTGTTTAGCAAAGTTGGACTGAGTATACAGTCTCTCCAAGTAATTCCAAACTTCCTTTGTTGTGTCATATTTAGCCAACTGCATACCAATAGACTGAGTAACAGAAATATTAATCCAAGTAATGACCTTGGAGTTATCAGTCTCCCAAGCATCAACCAACAAATCGAAATTCTCAGCTTGAGTCACTGAGGGTTTGGCTTTAGTCCCAGTGACATAGCCCCAAATATTATTCCCACGAAAGAAGTTCTTCATAACGTAACTTCAATATGTATAATTCTTTCCATCTAGACGAGTACTGATTGACTGAAGGGAATCATCCTTTCCAGTCATGTTGGCAATGAATAAATAACCACAATAATAGTATAACAATCTGAGAATGAGAGGAGTAACAAACCAGTGGAAGCAGTCAATCGAACAACAAGAAATCGAACAGCAACAACGAATCAACAGCAACAGCAAACGAATACCAAAAAAAAAATGAATATCACCAACGAATAAACATCACCAGACTGAACGAATAAGCTATCGAAACTGCTACAGTAACCCTAGATGACTGCTACAGTTCGATCTGCGCCACAAATGACTGCTACAAAGTCTTCTAACAACGTATCAAACTTCCGCTCTGATACCATGATAACATTGTCATATGATTATGATAGAGAGAAATTACAAGGTTCTCAATGAAAACCACACAGGCTACAAAGAATAAAGCGGATATAAATACTAGCTAGACAAAACCCTAATGGGCTAAAGACTAAAGAGTCCATAAACAAGTGGGCTAATAATACATAAGCTAACAACCCATATCATGTTTCTATCTAAATTTTAGTTTTATTTATTTAACCATTTAAACTAAGATATGAATTAAAATCAGCTTTAATTATAAGTAAGTGAAAGAAATATTGATCAAATTAGTTTTATTTACACACATGGAGTTTGTACAAGACACGACTTATTTACACAAAATCTAATCAAAATCAACTTACCTTACTTTTTAATTTTACTTATTTGATGATTTGATCAATTAGAATAATATATAAAATAATATGAACTTATTTATAGGTAAATGAGTCAAATGAACTTTAAACCTATATTTAAACAAATACATATTTTCTAAACAAGAGTTTTTATATGATATAAAACTATATTACATAAAACATAGTAAGGATAAAATTCTAATTTATGAGATGTTGATGCACAGATTGTTTACAAGCCACTCTGTTTTTAAAATTGTTAAAAGATAAGACATTGTTGTATATAAACATTTAACAAACCACACATCACAAAGGACCCCTGTTATGCTATCAGGTTTTGGACTTAGGGAGGAGGGAGTCATTCCCTCCCAATCCATTGAACCCACTGCCACATCATTTTTTCTCTTTTATTTTTTTTCATCTTTCCGAACTCACAACACACGGAAACCCTATCTTTTTGAACACACTCAACCCACTCAATTAAAAAAAAATACAAAACAATCAAATGTAAAATCTTAATTAGCAATAGAGTTATCGGCGGTACCACTCCCACTTCAACGAGCAGGTTGATTGGTTTCACCAATCCACTTCATCATCTCTCTCTACTTTCTCTTTCTTATTTTCTCTTGTACCATGTGTTTTAAAACTTATACCTTAGTTGTTTTGTATTTTTTTTAATTGAGTGGGTTGAGTGGGTTCAAAAAGATAGGATTTCCGTGTGTTGTGGGTTGCGAAAGATGAAGAAAAAGAAGAGACAAAAAATTGATGTGACAGTGGGTTCGGTGGGTTGGGAGGGAACGACTCCCTCCTCCCTTAGAATGAATATCATATTATAATTGCATATTTCATCTAGAAACCATTTCGTTGTATAAATTGGAAAAAAAAAATGTGAAACATGGTTACATAACTAGGAATTTAACCAGTTTTTTAATAATAGGAAACTTCAAATAATTTATCATATTTTAGTTTGTTTCCATATTGAGCGATTTCATATTTCAAACTATCATAATCTAGGTATTGAGTTTGTTCCCTACCACATTCTAGTTTTCATATGATAATATATTTTAGTTTCTATGTTGTACTTACTTTAAAACCAATGATATAACCTTGTAGGCATCTTGAAACTAAATTACAATCACTTATAGATTCTCTTTATAACTTATGTTTGTTATCAGATATCTATCCCAAATCAATATAGAAAGAACCGGATAACCTTTCATTCAGCAAAAATACACTTACTCAACATATATTTATTTGTATTACAACACTATATATGCTTTCAAATATATTCATTAAGGCATTGTACATCACTATATATCGTTGTACATCGACACATCTAACTAATTACAACATTGTACCTCCATTTTTTTTCTTATTTGGACAACATACTTTTAAAATTTTACACAATTACAATAGTGAAATTTGCACCATACTTTCATTTATTTTTATATAACAATATTCAACATTTGTTTATTTCTATTACAAAATTGTACTTTCAATTATTTTTCTTATCAGAGCTAATACTTTGAAAAAATCTTACCAATTATATCACAGAAAATTGCAACATTTGTCTGAATATTATAGCATTTTTATTTATAAAATTTATTTACTGCTATTACAACATTGTACTTTCCATTATTTCTTATTGAGACAGTGTTTTGTGTTTTGGAATCTACCCAGTTATAGCATAGCCCTTTCAATCTTTTCTTACTATGGATTTTCTTACTATGCGTTATATTACTTGCCCTCATGCTTACATGTAACCTTCTGTGGGTATTTCTCTATGCCTTTTATACATGTGATAAAAAAAACATAGCTTCCATTTTTTATGTTTTTTAAAAACAAAGTCTTATTTTAAAGGTCAGTAATATCAATAAAAATGGGTCGAATGGGGTCAGATCCATCTATTTAAGATAAATAAAGTCATAATCCTTCTATATAATATGTTAGTTAACAAGTCAGATCATTATGTATCTAGTTTATGTCTAATATTGATGATTAACAAGAGCAAATCCACAATATCACTTCAAGATTCACCAAGATTACAACCCTCTAGCAATAATGTTTTAACCTTCTTCAACACGCATACAATTCTTGAAAGCTTTTCAATCTTGATACAGTAACTCAGATCAACAAGAACAAGTTCAACACATTGTTCAATTGACTCACAAACTTCACGCAAACCAATGCAATTTGTAACTATTAGCCTCTCAAGTGCCGGGAGTTCATCAAAGCCACCCAGACTAATAAGTTGTTCACAAAAACTTAAATTAAGAATCTTCAATGATCCAAGAACCCTTTTGCCTTTTAAACAAGATCCATCCAACTGATAAACAAATATAGGTTAGAAACATAGAATAGTAGTGAATTTTATCAAATCAAATAGGAAAAATAATAAATGAAGATAAGTTACCTTTTGCCTCTTCTGAAGTAGTTGTGAATTACTATAACAAACACCAAACGATTCAATATTGCTATATGACATGTCAAGAGCAACCAAATTCTCCATTGGTAAGTCTGAAGGTATAGACTTCAAAGGAAACCCATGCATACACAACCATCTTAATTCTTCTGGAAAATTCTCATAAGACCCACTAATTTGGACATAATTGAGTTGTAGCAGCATTAGCCTATCCATCTTACTCAATGCATCTGTTTTCAACTCAACTGATCCACGTAACTTCTCTTTCTCAAGCATTCTCATGTCAAGGGTGAGGCCTCGAACATTTCCTTTACCCTAAAAAGAAAACAAATGCAAAAATAAACATCAAATGTTACAAAACATGTATATAGAGAATAAAAAATATTTTGATCTTACCTTTTTTTGTTTCAACACTTTGAATGACTCTTCATCACACCATAATCGACTCCGTTTCCATGGCTTGTTAGGTGATTCTTCACATACGATGTATCTTCCCATCTCTTGAATCAATTGACGCATCATTAACTTGTTATTCTGGTTGATACTTAGAAGACCTCTGTCGATTAAATTAGTGATTCCATTTCTTGTTTCTATACCAAAAGAATTTAATATTGTAATTGCTACATCTTTATCCATTCCAACAAAAAAACAAGCAATATCCTTAAACAACTCCTTATTATCATTAGATGGCAAAGAGTCAAAGCTCCCTCTTAACACATTATGTATACGAGCACCATTTTCTTTCTTTAACTCTTCCATGCATCCCTCCCAATAAGATACATCTCGATTATGTAAAGACTTTCCCATACCTTTAAGAGCCATTGGATGTCCTTCACAATATTTCACAAGCTTATCTGACAACTCTTCATAGCCTGGATTCGGATCATCGGACATGAATGCATGAAAACACAAAAGTTTCCGTGACCCAGTGTCATCTAACCCTTCAAGCAAGTGTTTTAAATGGTTGGGTTTAAAGTTCTTTTTGAATAGTGCACAACTCTCTGTTAACCACGCGTCCTTTGTTGTTATTATGATTTTGCTTCCTGGATGAAAAGCTTTGCTTCCAAGTAACGCGTTTAACTGGTCAAGACTATTGATATCATCAAGAACTAGAAACACCTTTTTACGGGAGACTACGTTCTCTATTTTTGAGGTGTACATAGAAGCATTATTAACTAGAATTGAAGTTGTTTTTGAAATGTCATCACAGAGTTGTTGTTGTAAATCAAGCAAACCACTAGCTTTTGCATCACATCTCCTACCGATATCTTCAATAAAACTGCTTGTGTGGAATTCATGACAATGTAACGTGTAGACATATTTGGCTAAAGATGTCTTCCCGATTCCACCAATACCTAAAATAGTGAGTATGTTTGTTGTATGTAAGGATGCATCTTGCAACCATGAAGTGACAAATTTAATAGAATTGTCCATTCCAATAAGTTGTGGCAGAGGACTCCTTGAGGATATACGTAATCTATTGTAGATGTCATTTACAACTTCTTTAATAACCTCTGTCTCTTTCCTGAAATTTGATTTGAATACAATTCAAAAACCTAACATACCAGATTGGAGATGTAATTTACAATGGTGTATCTAAATGAATTATTTTATGATAAAATAGTAAATGCATATAAAAGGTGTTCAAAGTAGCAAGATGGTTAATCTACCTATATGAATTAATACATGAAATCAGATAATTGCAGAAATTAGATTCAAATATACATAGTTGATGTTGATTAGGAAATTTATTGAAATGCATAGGGAGAAGATGATATTGATTTTTCATGAGCTAATCAAACAAAATTAAAGGAGCATGGAAATATGGGTATAAAAGTGGTCACCTGCCATTTATGTCAATCCCTTTTAAATCAGCAACTTCTGTAAGCGCTTTATTCCATTTTTCCACCTTTTGAGCTAATTTACTTCTTTTATTTGCATCTGTCTCTACCTCCATCCTCTGTCTATGCTTAGCCATTGCATCTCCGAAGCTACTTGTTTGCTTCCTGACATTAGTGGGCTCCACTTGATAAAAGAGAGGGAAAACAATATGGTTGGATGTCATATGTTGCTCAAGGATCAACACTAATTCATCAAGACACCATGTTGAAGTAGCATAATTCTTGGACAACACAATAACAGAAGCCCTAGATGCTTTAATTGCACTCTCCAATTCCGGTTTCAGATCTTCCCCTATTTCAATCTCTTCATCATCCAAGAAGGTAGTGATTTTGGCATCCATGAGTGCCTTATAAAGCTGATTAGTGAAACTATGACGAGTGTCAACGCCTCTAAAACTTAAAAACACATCATATGTATAACCATGAGTTGATGAAGATGAAAATCCATCTGAATGTTCAGAGAGAACAGCCATTATAAGTTATGGGTTAATGACCTTTCACCCTTCCCAATATGCTTTGAAACTCGGTTTCCTTCACACGGCTTCAGTTATAAATGTTGGTTTTAGTCTTTACCTCTTCCTTTTGTTAAAAAGCTTTTGAATCCCACACTTAATTTGCTGCATCAGATTTCAACGAATAATTAATATATAAACACAAAAAAGAATAAGTTTCTTGACATTGGTTTTTATAGATCCCTTCAAAAAGCAAGTATAAGCTTATCAATTAGAATTTATCTACCACTACATGAAGTATCAGCATACAGATGTCCTTCTCCCAAATGATAGTTTTTTTTTTCTTAAATTAACAAGTCATGCCATTTCTAAGCTTTGATTTCAAATCCCCCTTTTTGTGACAAAAGTGATTTATTAGACAATTGAAAAAGGATTTGTTGTCTAAGGTTGTAGGTGATAAATCTACAAAGGAATCACATACAAATTTTGTAGCTCAAAGCAAAAACCTAATCCAGCTTATTTGCAAATAATTTAGTATTAATTAAGCAATTAGAGATCTAAACTCTGTATCAGCAAAATCCTAATTTGTGCAAAATGCGAAGTTTTGCACAAATTTAATCTGGACTTTATGCAAGAACAAGATGGACACCCTAATTGAAATATAAAATAAACAAAAGTAATCGAAATAATCGAAAATCCGATCCCCTTTTGATGGAAAAACACATGATTGATAAAATAAGATAATCGACAACTTGTGAAACTAACTTGTAAGAATGTGCACAGTGCATACATAGTTACCTGCTAGAGAACGACAACGAGACCTGAGTAGACGAGAATAGAAGACAAGAAACGGCGATGAGACTTAAAAGGATGACGGAGTGAAAAGTACAGGCGAACGGCGGTAAGTTGGAGGTAAACGGCGAGACAATGAGGAAGGAGGCAAGACAAGACGGTGAGTCGGTGAGGCTTCAACGATTTTCCTTCTTCTGAATTTTCTTTTTCCGAATTTAACAACATTACAGCACGAAAATTACTAGAAAATTTCTAGGGAAATTGCTAGAAAATTAACAATATTTCCTTCAACAACTAATTTAAATTTGTTTAACGGTAATTGCGAGAAATTTTCTAGGCAAATTACACATCATTTCGTTGTATATGTCAAAACATGCATTTAATTCTTATTTTTAAAAATTAATGTATTGTAAAAAGATGTATATTTCACTTCCATTAGTTTAAATTTACATGTTTCATAATAAATAAAATTCACTTTATAATTTATTTTTTATTTATTTTTTATATCTTTAATTATTTTTAATTTATTAAACCTAATATGGGAATCTCTCTCTCTCCTCTCTCTCTCTCTCCACTACTAGAAATCCGCTCCACCACTGCACAACCACTACTTGTTTTCTTGAAAAATAATCACAAACCACCACCTCCTTCACCATCGAGACCCTCTTGTACTAACACCAGCCGGCAACCACCCCTTTTGAGGCTTTGACACCACCTGTCATCGCTCAATTATCAGTATCGTCTGAGGATCTAACCTTTTTTGGAGTACAGATCTAAACAGTAAGGTAAAAACTTGGGGAGGAGTGAAGATCTGCTACCCTGTCGACAAAAAAATGAGAGGTGCCTATGGTTTGGTGCAGCAATGGAGCACCCATATTTTTCGGCATAACCACCCCAAACACTCCCTTCTCCCTTCCAGTCTAATGGTAAAACCTTTTTCCCTCTTCTCACTTCAATCGACAACCACATATCGAGAAAACGTAACCAATTATCTTGTTCTCAATCGAACGTTGGAACCATGGTTCTTAAAAGCGCATCATGATGTGCCTCAAGATGTGTCATGATGTGAGGCGTGGTGTAGCCATTACGAAAACGTCCAAAGCGGTTTTGTTAAGTGTGGTGCCCAAATAACGTGTCAAGGCGTGCCTTAGCAGTTTATGGCGCGAGTTTTTTTTTCAAAGCACAGTTTTTTTATCGGACCTAAAATAATTGAATTTTTGTTAATTTTTTATATTAAATATTAATATAACACTTCTAAAAACTTTGATATATTTGATAAAAATTCAATAATTATATGATTTATCTTTTTTACTGTATATAAAATAGTCATGCCTTGAAAAACGTCATGGCTCGCTAAGGCTCATCATGGCTTAACTTTGACCTTGTTGCCAACCTACGTCTCACATTACTTAGAACTTTGGTTGGAACAGATCGCTACACTCTCATTAAAAAAAAAAAAAAAAAAAAAAAAAAAAAAAAAAAAAAAAAAAAAAGAGGTGGATGGGATTTGGTTTTGACATATGTTGTTCTTACAGACGATGATCTTTGTATCTTGCTACCCTCTTTTTAGAAATACATGATTTCTTAATTCGTGTGCGTCATGTTCTTCAACGATTTTCATACTTCAAACTTTCTCTCTAGGGGAAGAAATATAGAAGAATCGGAAAGGAAATAAACAATAGTGGTGATGTTTAAACAGACTCGGGAAAGAAAAAAAACGGGGGGGAGGGTGATGATATTTTCTCTTTTGTTTTTAGTCTAAAAATAATAAATAAACAAAAGAAAATTAAAAAAAATAAATTGTTAAGGGAAAAATAGTCTTTTTTCGGAGTGACTGACCGTGCAAGAAAATATGGACTAAACATGAGTTTCGGCACATGCAAGAGGGAAGAATGATGTAATTTACCAAATTCCTAATATGTTAGCTTAATTAACGGAAAATATGGACTAAGTTAATTCGGAGTGACTCAGAGACGGTCGAAGTTAATTTTTGGACATATAGACTAAACATGAGTTTTAGCACATACAAGAGGGAAGAATGGTGTAATTTACCAAATTCCTAATATGTTAGCTTAATTAACGGAAAAATAAAAAAAAATGTTTACAGAAAATAACAGGATACATGCTAAAGTCGATGGAAAAAACTTTTTTTGGTCGGCTTCATAGGTTTATGTAATGTCCCAATTTTTAGAATAAAATTTTCATTTTTAAACTAGAATAAACACATTCATAAGACATAATCAAGGCAAAACCCTTTGTTTGTAAACCGTAGTTCAAAATCAGAGTTATAAAGAAAAGTATCGCAAAATCTCAAATCATAAACTGTTGATGGGTGTGTACAGTTACGTCTTTGCTTTCCCACGAACTGATAAAGTACCTGAAAAACATTTAATCTACAACTATAAGTCAAAGCTTAGCGAGTTCCCCTAAATATTTCACACAACAATACACATATGCCTGCACACAAGGCCTACAACATAAGGTTGGACTGCCATATGAGACTACAACATTTAGTTGGACCACTCTCCAGAGCCTACAACATTAAGCTAGACCACTTTCCTTAAGACTACAATATTAAACTAGAGCGCCAGGATATCTTGGCCTTCAGCACACAAATGGACCGCCTCAACCCACTCTCAATATGTCGACATATGTAAATAACAAACAAACAGTCACAGACAATTATTAAGAAATCTACATGTCTAGCAGATCACTCAACATACTAGCATCCTAACATATAGAGGATGTATACTATAGTATAATGTATAGTGAGAAGACTCACCTGAGCTAAACGACATGACTCGCCTAAGCTACACGATAGAAGCTTAACAACAACCTCAACAATAGAACAGGTAACACAAGCTAACTAATACCAAATTGAGACCAGTCCTTAGCTAAACACTCAATTCTAACAAGGGTTGACTAAAATTCAAACCGGTCAAAACCAAGTGCCATGGACTACCTTCATGATCTTGACCTGGAATGCCATGGGCTCCCCCACATGGTCTGATATCCAAGTACCACGGGCTCCCCCGGGGTCTTCTATGGAAGTATCACAGAGATAACTAGCATACCACATATCACATAAACAACTAGCATACCACATAACACATAATGGGCTAACATTGGTGCCTATGACCCATGGATATAGTGAGAAGACCCACCTCGAATGCAGAAACTTTCAGAAAGAATCCCACACTGCTACCCTGACAACTTCCCGAGCTAACAATACTAAGAGACAACCAATTAGCAATTGGGTTTTAATCCATAACTATAACTTCATACATGGGGTAAAAAAAGACCATTTTACCCCTAACATATCCCTGTCCAAAACTATGGCCCAAACTATAATCTGAAAGGCCCAAAGGCCAATTAATCAACCAATGGCCCAATTTTCCAAATTGGGCCCAAACCTCTACATGGGCCTTACCTTAAGGCCCAACCATTCTTTTTAGTCCAAACACTTGGCAGTCCGATGTCCAATTAACCCATAATCATCAAAACCCAATTATGGCCCACTTATGGCCCAATTTTCCAAATTGGGCCCAGACCTTACCAATGGGCCTTATCCTAAAGCCCAATAATTTCCCTTAGTCCAAGAAATGTCCCAACCCGAGGCCCGCAAATGTGAATTCCCAAATCTATATTGGGCCACAAGGCCCAATAGACCCAACCATACCAATATTGGCCCAAAGATACATTCAGGCCCAATCACCAGCAAGTCCAGGCCCAAAACCATTAGGGCGCAAAGGTCTGAAGTCCGCCAAGGTCCAAATCTTCCTGAGAGCGTATGCCCAACGTACATCTTCTGTACGCTTAGCGTACTGAGCAAAGGGGATGTACGCGCATCGTACTACATGGTACGCCCAGTGTACAAACAGCTCATGCAAAAAATCCATTAAGTGTTTCATGCATGCAGGCTCATCACTCAAATTCCAGATCTACGTCGATTGAATGATCCTAAGGCTTAACGTTGGCAATTTTATGCCTTTGCATGCTATAAAAGGTCCCAACAAACTCAATCTATCCCATTAAGACCCTTCCAAAGGTCTTAACTCATGCATGAAGCCATAGAAGACATCAAGATTACATTTTTATACAATAAACAAGTCCAGGTGTCTCAGATCTAGCCTTCCTAACCTCTGGAGTTGCCCAAACTCACAAGAGATGATTTATGGACTCACAAATAGACTCTAGAAAAACCCTAACTCAACTAGCAAGGAGAATAGACAAGATGCAAGATTTTTACCTTCAAAATCTCTCCAAGAGGCTCTAGATACAGGATCCAAAAGCTCCTTCCATGATCCAAA